GTCAGCTACCCCTGGAGGCATGTCCCAGATGGACAATGTGGCTGCCTGCCCTTCGTGGGCCATTTCTTCTGTGTCGGCAGCTGCAGGGTCCCAAGGCATAAAGCCACTAACAGAAGTTACAGTTAAGTTGGGAACATTCAGAAGACACAGACTGAACATCCAGTCCTTATCAGAACCTGGAACAAAGCTGGCACTAAAAACATTCATGTGGGAAAGAAGAAAGGAAGAAAAGCAGGGAGAGAAGAGAGGAGGGCTGATGGAGGTGGATTCAACACGTGTTTTAAGTCCCGCTTTTGAAAACATATTTGGTTGAACCATACAAACCTGCCATTTTTGTAAGTCAAACAGCTGAAGGTTGGCAAGTGTACATGGTTCAGTCCGACACCCACCCCAGAGGCCTGTGGGGTGCCTGGAGAAGACGCTCTCTCGCATGTGAGGCATCTGCTCCCCACTAAGGCCATCTCCCACAGGTCTGTTGGTGTCTGCATACCCCACGAATCTCATCTTTTTCTCCATTTGACTATTAATCATTTGCAAAACACAAATAACAGCACCTTTACTACAGAAACACCAGGAAGCTTCCTTCCAAAGTCTGAAATAGGAGGAGGAATGAGCCCCCACCTGAAAAGCACACCTTTAAAAAGTGTCAGAAATGGACAGAAATTGCTTATTACAGAATTTGTTTAGACCACCCTGTGAGGCACAGCATGGGTGCCAGTCACACTCACACTTGTTGTCTACAAAAACATGGGTGTTCCGGTGCTGTGCAGACCCATGACATATGCCACATAATATGACTCGTTTAGTCATTCAAATACCAAAAGGGATCCTAGGAGCCATTGAATTGCAGACCCTCAAGCGGGCCAGACAGACCCACGTCTAGTCCGCTGCAGAACAGGGCAGCACCTCTTGCCCACCGAACACTCGCCACCAGCCTCACCACCAGCCTGGCCACCAGCCTCGCCATCCGCCTGGCCAGGGCTGCCCAGGGAGCTGCCCTCAGCTGGCCTCCTGTAACCAGGGAAGGCCCACCTTGCAAAATGCCCATGGGGATTAGTGCCACGGCCAGGTCACCTACTTTCACAAGCTGTGAGATGCTCCTGAAACCGCTGGCTGTCACCCACTCCATGTCCCCCCACAGCCCTGGGAGGCTACCTCTGGGCCCACCTAGGACCCCGGCCAGGTCTCCTCAGGGGCACCCTCCTCTGGGAGGACACCCTCCATCACACTGGTGTCTACATTTGAGCTGGGCTGTGCGTCTCCTGGATCATCTCTGTGGTTCCGCTTTGGCCTCCCCAGTCCTCTGCGTGGACGCCACAGTCCCAGGCTGAGCTGGCTCACATCTGAGCCACCTGCCCTGGCAAAGGACTGTAGAGAGCCTGGTGCATGTAGGCCAAAAGGGGCCAGCTACTCTTAACCTGATCAATCTATGAATTATCTGTGCAGAGAATGCCTTTAATTGGGTCTTCCAAGATGAAATGCCATTGCCACACCCCCGTGGCACAGCTTGTCAACTACTTGGAGAGCGAAGACAGTGAGAGCAATGCCTTCAAACTCAGCATCGCCATGAAAAGTGGGATAATGAAGCGAATCAGTTAGAAATGAAGAGCTCTGTACGAACGTGCTTCTTTCTGCTCTCTGATGAAGGCTGGCGATACAGTATATCTCACTGCTACAATATAGTAACAATATAGTACATTGTTACTTCACTGTTGCAATACAGTACACTTGGCCATTGCCTGAAAATGTGTAGTTACCACAGTGCTGATAAACTGTAATCACATCACACCTGCAGAAGGCAGATTACTGAGCCTCCAGGGCACCCTGGACTGCTCCTCGCTGGCCAGCATGGAAGCATCACGCACCTGAACCTGGAACAGCGCGGCCTCAGCCAGGAGCAACGCCGGGCCCCCCACCCTCGCCCAGCTTGGCCCCAGCCGGGCAGCAGCCTGAAGCGGAGCTGGGCTGAGCTCGGAGAGCAGCTTTCCCAGTATGTTTTACCTATGCTTTCCCTTGATAAAGTTCTGCCATGGCTGGTGGTTTTTTCACACATTATAATTTTCCTTTAACATATTATTTAGCTATTATTATTGACATTAAATAACTTTTTATTTTTCTCAATAAAGTCACATTTGACAAAACTGGAATTGGGACTTACTTCACAGAAAACTCAGATAAAAACGAAAGCAATCTGTGACAGGACATTTACTCTGAAAGCCACACATATAACCGGCCTGCCGACACAGCTCAATGCTGTGCCCTGCGGGCGGAACGTAAAAGGGAGTGGCTGCCGTGCAGAACACATGACGGCTCCTCAGAAAGGCAGAACTAGGGCCCCCAGGTGACCCAGCAATCCCGCTTCTGGGGGTTCGTCCAGAAGGACTGAAAGCAGGGCCGTGAAGGGATGCTTGCACACCCCTGTCCACCGCAGAGGGACACACAACGGCCAAGAGGTGGCACAGGTGGATGGATGGACACACGAGGTCACACCCACACGGGGCACAGTGCACAGCCTCAAGGAAGGGTGTCCTGACACCTGCTACAGCGCAGATGGACCCTGAGGTGATGCTCAGTAAAACAGGCCATACACAAAGGGACACAGACTGCGTGATTCCACTTACATGAGGTCTGCAAAGTCCCCTTTGGTAGAGACAGAAAGTCCAGGGGCAGGTGCCTGGAGCTGGAGGAGGGCGAGCAGGGAATTAGTGTTTAATGGGGACAGAATTTTAGTTCTGCAAAAGGAAAAAATTCTGGAGATGGTGGGGCTGACAGCTGCACAACAATGTGCACACAGTTAATACCACTGAATGATATACTGAAAAATGGCTAAAAGGGTGATTTTTATGTTACATGTATTTTACCAGGATTAATAATAACATTTAAAGTTTAAATGATGTAACTTAAATAAGATTCTATAGGACTGTTGCCAATAGAATGTTTAATTCACCTATTTCTAACTAGTTTTAAATGAATTTCTTTTTAACAAAGGGAAATATAATTACTGTAAATGGATAAAAATGTTTGGAAAACTACAAATGTTAGAAAAATAAAAATGAGTTCTAAAATCCTGTTTCACAAAAACTTTGCAAAAAAAATTATGTATTTTATGGTCAGTGAGTGTGGGAAATTCCCACGAGAACCCAGGAAGTAGACCCCTCAGTGGTCCATGGGAGGCGACAGGTGCTCCAGGAGGTGGGGAGCCCCACCGCATTCCCCAGATGGAATGGACAACCCCAGGGCTCCCAGGCAGGCCTGACCTGGACGTGTTCTAGAAGCATCCTAGCCCTTCTCGGATCCTCTGGAGGCAGAGGGGAGCCGAGCCCATTCTGAGGATGGCTGTTCATCCTGAGGAGCTCCTGTGGGAGGAGACAGGACCAGCTCAGCCATCAGCCAAGGGGGAAAGGCCCAGAAGCCAAAGGGCAGAGGCCCAGCTCCCCACATAAAACGGGGGCTTGTGCATCAGCAGGCCAGTGGGAAGCCTGCGTGATAGCACCACGTGGGCCGGCCTGCCCTCCTTCCCTCTCTGCAAAGTCTAAGTTATGACAGAAACACTGGGTAATTTTTTATTGAAGAACATTGTTTTCACTTCGCCAGACTTTGTGCAGAAGTGCTGGACGCCACTCCCACTTCTCCAATAAGGGGGATCCGTTCACAAACATGCGGTTGGCGTGGATGCGGCGAGCAGTTTGCGGAAGGAGGGGTTGGCAGCGAAGCCCTCACCAGGCCCTCCCAGCCCAGCCTGTGGCTCAGGGCGCATTTGGCCACTAACAGCTGAAGCTTGCCGTCCAAGGTGGCTGTGGTCAGCTGCAGGCAAAGATAAAATACCACGTGGATTCAATCACCTTTCATTGATTAAGAGGCTTGTCCAAAGGGCCCACTTACAGCAAAAGTATTACTGTAATTTTCTAGACCATAGAACAAAGTGCATCAAAAATAGCGAAATCTATACAGGTGTTGTACTTAGTTAATTCAAAGTACGTTCTGTTGGTATCCTAATTAATACTGGTTGAGCGCCAAGGTCGGAATCGGTCTATGTGCACTGCGAGAGAGCTTTCCAGACATCTACGCAGCTCAGCCAGTCCCGGGCGCCAAGTCGAACATCCCACCCCCGCAGCCTCCAGCTGCTATTTGTGATGGGTCTCGGGTGGGGGTGGGCACACAGCAGCCTCCCAGCCCCCAGTGCCCAGGCAGGAGGGTGGCTGGTTCAGCCAGTGAGTCAGGACAAAGGGCAGGGTGTGCGGGGCTGGCTCCTTCCTGCCCAGCTCCCTGCAGGGCCGGCTTGGCAAAGCTGCTGAAACCCACACTAACCGGAGAAGGCTGAGGCTACACTGGGGACAAGTTCAGGACAGTGCCGACAAGCTCTTTGCCAGGGGTCCTAGTGGGCTCCAGCTGCCAAAACAGAGGACCGTGGGCCGGGACTGAGCAGCAGGGTTACGGTCTCTCAGGCTGGAAGCAGAAGGCCTAGATCAGGGTCAAAGGGCACGTCTGGGGAGGGCTGCATCCTCCCTGTCCTCCCACACGTGGACACGTGTCCTCCCTTCCCCCTTCACATGGGGAGGGGCAGGCCTCTCTTCCTCTCAGGAGGCCGCCAGCCCTCCCGAATTGGGGCCGTGCCCTTGCAGCTCATTCAGCTCTCAGTGGGGACTGGTGCTTCCACACGCGGGGGGCCGGCCCCCAGCACCCATGGAAGCCAGGCCTCCCATTGTGCTTGTCAGCAATACAGGACTTCATTCTCTGTCTGCCTGGCTCCCACGTCCAACTCTGACCAGCCTCTGCACCCCACAGGGGAAACATGTGCTATGTATTAGCCCCCAAATCCCTGCATGTGTTGACCTAGCCAAGGGCCTTGAGTGGACCTGGAGACGGGCCACATGCAGGGCTGGGACGCCGGTACCCACAGCTTCTCTACAGGCGGCCCACAGAGGACTTTGGCCGCCAAGCAAATCAGGCAACTTACTAGGTTTCTCAGCAACATTTTAATTTGGGGGCTGACCAGATGGGTCCCCAGCTCTCTGAGACACATTAATTCTTATGCACGTAAATTCAGTTTGACTTCAGCTCAGAATTCAACCTCTGAATGTCAGGTCCTCAGTGACGGATGTGGAGCTGACGCAGAATGGTCCCAGGCGTCTGTGTCAGCTGGACCCAGCAGGGCACTGCCCCTTGGTGGCTGGAGAGAGAAAAGGGAGGGCAAAGCAGAGCCAGGGCTCCATGGAAATGGAGCTGCAGGGGAACAAAGGAGCGCTCAGCTTTAAGAGAGTCTTTAAGAGTCACAGAACGCGAGACAAGGGCCTTTAGAGCCAGGGCACAAAGCGCCACCCACAGCGGGAAAGGGGGGTTCTCCCAACTGCTCTGCAGGGAGGCTGCGATGTTGCTGTGAGGACTTGGAGGATGCAACTAGCAAGTGTGGTTGCAAGGGACAGAAACCTGACTTGGCCTCATGTGGCATAAAGGCATTTTGTTATATGATTACTGGAATGTCTGAAGTTGCTAAAGAACAAAAGTGGGTTTAGAGTCAGGAAAAGCCAAGACCATGGGTCTCCTGTCAGGACTCCAGGACACTGTGGCAGTGCCCTCATGCTTTCCTTGTTCTTCTTTCTCTCAGGAACCATCTGTTTCTAATTTTCTGGTCAACGTGGCCATAAAAAAACAAAACAAATGAACAAAACAAACCAACAGAAGTCGATCACTTAAGCTGCCAGGTTTGGGCTTCAGCCGCTGCTTCCTCTCAGCTTCGGTATCAAAGTGGGGTCAGCTGTTCAGTGACTCAAGGCTTCAGTGGTAACGAGGGGTCAGAGAGCTCCCAGGGAGGCAGTGAGGCTGGAAGGCACAGCCCGAGGGCCAGGGAGGACTCCGGGTAAAGTCAAGAACGCCCATGGAGGGACTGTGCACTGCCAACCGAAGCAGTACTCATTTCGCCATTGCACGCTGCAGACTCTGGGGTGGCTGCGGTGAAAGGGTGAATGATTCTGACATTTGCACAGGCCTCATCAATAATGCATTTCATATTTGAGCTGGAAAGGACATAAGGGCAAAATGCAAAAAACACCTGAAAGCCAGAAGGGTATGTTTATGACGTCACACTCATCTGTTCTAAGGAAATCGCCAGTTTCTGCCAAGCCAGGTGGGGAGGTGGCTTAGGCTTTAATGGCCATATGGACACAGAAGATGGGGACTTGAGGTCTTGTGAGGAAGGGAGCTGGGGCTGAGGAGGCTGCACAAGGCCAGAAGATCCAGGTATATAAACCTGAATGAAGTATGGCCAGATGCCCATGGGCACAAGACCAGGAAATGAGCTCCAAAGTCCAGGCGCAGCTTCAACTTATGCTGTGTGACACAAGGATGCACAAGTTAAGGAGCTGACAAAACCAAAAGGCGTGGTCTCGGCAGGTAATGCTCCTGGAGCACATAGCAGAGCAGACTAGACCGCACTTGGCTGCTCGAGCCCCCCAGGCCCCTCAGGATAAACCCTGCTGGAAGTCCTCTCTGGATGTTTCCCTATGACCAGAGCTATTGGACACAATGAACAACAGAAATGGACAGCTGAAAACTTTAGACAGTAGAGCCATCACATGCAGACTTTAACTCAATGTTTAAAAGGACTAGAAACTTGAAATAACCAGATGCTAAAATAAAGGACTAAAGACTAAAAAGAACCGAAATGAGACTAGAAATAAGAATGGAGCCACTGAACATAAACATTCAATTGATGGGTTAGGAGCTGATTAGAAACAGCTGAAGAGAGAATTAGCAAACTGAAAGACAGATCAGAAATCGTCCAGAATGCAGCTTATGTAGGTGAGAGGATGGAGACAGTGGGAGTGTAGACGACCAACCAAGCCTAATCCTCACGTACTAGGAGTTCCAGAAGGAGGACAGTGAGATGGAGAAGGGGTAATACCTGAAGGAACTACAGCCAGAATTAGGAAAAAATAAAATTGTCGTTAAGGGAACAAAATGAGTTCTAGGAAAGGTAAATAATAATGAACCCATACCTAAATTCATATTTAGTCTAGGGGCAGGACACACAACACACTGTCTCAATTGGTGGCCTCCATTCTTAATCCGCCTCACCTGAGAGTGGCGCTAGGTGAGCGTCCGTCCACTCATGCACTTGGTCTCAGCGGGGGTGGAGGGAGGCACAAGCCCTGACACCGAAACACAGGCCCAGCATGACTCTGACATGCAACAAGGACCATGTCCACTTTTTTGCACACTACTTATTTTTCAAACTCAAATATTACTCTTGGCCATTAACTTTGTCATGGTGTTCTTCAACTGAAAATATTTTTAATTTTGATTAAAATAAATTCATCACATTTTTTATCTCATGCTTGGTAACTTTTCAAGTTTCGTTGAGGAAGGCTTTCCCAAGCGTAGGTCACAAAGCGATGCCCCTACATTTTCTTCTCCCTGCTCACTGTTTTACCTTTTACATCTAGATATTTAATTCATCAAATGCATGTTCCAGTAAAAAGTTTTACTTTTCCTCAATATAGAGTCCATTTTTCCTAAATATTGTACCAAGTAACCCATCTTTTTTTCTGTTGTTTTGTGGTGCGATATTTAATGTATTAAGTCCTCAAATATACAAGGGTCTATCTCTGAATTCCTATTATAGTCCTCTGGCTTTAGTTCAGTTCTTGAGCCAATACATATTGTTTTTGTTTTTAAAATATTTGTTACTATCTAACAGGGAAAATATGAAGTTGACTTAGCCCTTTATGGATTTTTTCCCATATAAGTTTTGGAATAAGTTCATTGAGCCCTACTAGAATTTTGATTGAGATTGCAATAAATTTATAAATTAGTGAAGAAATGGCATCCTTATAATTTTAAGTTGTAACTTAAACTATGAAAAATATAAAATGCTATTCAGATCTTCTATGTAGTTTCTTAGAGTTTTAAATATTTCCCCATAGTTATTTTTCTTAGTTATGCTCCTAGATATTTTCAAGTATTAGTTGCTATTATAAAGGAAATCTTATTTTTATTTTAAGTTTAATTAGTTATTATTGATATTTGATTATTTACTAGGTGTAACTTGTAGCCACCTCACTGAATTATATTAATTCTAATAGCCTAATGATTCTATTAGTTTTCCCATTAATTGAATCAAATGATCTGCACATAATGAGCTTTGTCTCTCCTTTTCCAAGCCTTTTCACCCATTTCTTTTCTTTCTGTTTTATTGGCCAGAACCTACAGCACTGCGTGAACGGAGCTGTAACTACTTTGTCATGTGCCTGATCTTACAGAGAATGAACATAAAATTTCTCAATTAAGTATGTAGTTGCTATAAATTTTGTTATATAACCTTTGCCAGTGAAGAATCTTCTTTCCATTCTTACTTTGCTAGCTCTTTCCTTTTAATCTTAAACAGTAATGGACTTCAATGTTTTTTCTGCATCTACTGATAAAACAAAATATTTTCTTTCTACCAAAGTAGTGAATTAAGTCATTAGATTTTCTGACATTGAACTAATCTTGCATTCAAGGACAAATTCTACTTGAGAGTTACTTTTAAGTGTACAGTGGAATTCAGTTGGCCATATTTACTTAGGATTCACATAGATCTGTTCATAACAAATTTTGTTCAAAAAATTTTGTGACCAAAATTGCATGGCCACTTACAAAGCAGTTTGGCAGTTCCAATAAAGTAAAACACACACTTAACATATGACCCAGAAATCCCATATGTAAGTATTTATCCAAGTTACATAAAACATGTTTACATAAGAGCTGTTCGTGAATGTTTCTGTAGCTTTACTCATAATTAAGAAAAACTAGAGACAGCCAAAACACCCACAGACTAGTGAATTTTACACAAGGCATGATATCCATGTAATGGCACAAACTACTGATATGTGCAACAACATGAAAATGATTCAAAGCATTAAGCTAAATGAGAGACCCACACAATAAACACATGCTGTGTTATTCAATTTCTATGGCTTCCTGAAAAGTCATGTAGGGACAGAAATCAGTGGCTGATGGGGGAAGAGGGAGGAGCTCATGGGGCCTTGGGTGAATGGAAGATGCTCCATCCTGACGGGAGGATTTGGGTCGGGGGATATGCTCCAACCTGACTGTGGTGGAAGTTGTGTATGTGTACACCACAAAGGATGAATTTTACTGTATGTAAATTATGTATTAATAAAACTTAATTTAAAAATAATTATAAATACTACCACATGTTGGACTAAAAGATGCCTCAGATGGGAGCTGGCAAATGATTACCTAAAATAAATCAAATCCAAAATTCCTACTGGGTGAAAAAAATAAGCCTTTGCATTCTAAGTGATGTAAAAGCTGCAAACGATGTTTGTTATCGTAGTGCAGCTGAAGTCTCCTTGTACATTAATACTTCATTTGAAGAATTAAGAACACATCATAAATGAGATTTTACAAAACTCACACTACCAAAGCATACAGAGACCACTTTCTTTTTCAGTATCACACGTTTTATGTACATGCAATGCAGCAATCCTGAAAAATAACCAGTAATAATCTGATGTGAAAAAATTGGTTTCTAAGAGTAACTGAAGAATATAGGAAATATTGGACAAGAATTATAGGTTATAAATCCAGGCTTTTGTCTATTTTATACACATTTAATTTGTAAATCTAGCCCTAACAACACAGGTTGCTAAATGGCTAAATGTTTCTATTTATTATTTTCCTAGCAACCATCAAATATTACACATGTTCCATATTGTCTGATTTCCTCCATCACTAGGTAAGTTTTTAAATGTTTCCTTTTAAAGAAGTATGGAGGTTTCTCAAAACCTAACAATAGAAATCCCATGCAACTTAGTGATCCCACTGTGGGTGGCCACCACCATGGGCAGGAGGCAGGGGTGGGGGAGATGCGGGTGGGGGGGGAGTCAGTGAGAGTCTTTGCTATCTTGATCTGGGGTGACGGTTGCAGGAGTGTGTACACATGTCAAAATTCATCAAGCTGTACACTAAGCTTTGTGCATTTTATTACATGTGACTCAATGTAAAAAAATAGTAAAAAGAGTGAACATAAATAAAGAGTGTTTCCTTTTTCAGTATTTGAGACCCCACAGCCCTGAGACCTGTCTCCTTATCCACTGAGAGGCACCTTCCAAGTTTGCAACAAGTGGGTCAGATCATCCAGCAACCCTACAATATCTGACTGTCTACACTGATCTGAAAATGGCCACTTTTCTCCAAACTCAAGACTCTTCAGGACCTCCATGCTTCCTTCTTCCCACAGTGTGTGTGGCCCGTCGGCGAGAGAGGCAGGCCAAGCGCCGCGCACCAGCACAGCCTGGGCCGCAGCTCTGCCATCCACCGGCTGGGCCATCTCAGCGAGGTCTCACAACCACCCCGCCTTCACGCATCTGTCTACAAAACAGAGACAGGAATAGCATCCTTTCCAGAGGACCTGTTTGAGAACCACATTAATATGAAATACAGTCTTAGAACAGAACCTGGCATATAGAAAATGCTACTATTGTTACAATGTCTCCTCCATGACATCCAGGAATGTCTCCTCAATCCGACCAGATGTGAGCAGAGCGCGATGCCCCAGGATCTGTATGTGAGCTCCCAGTACCCCAAGGGGTACACGGAAACAGCATCCATGGTGAGACGGGCCCCAGGCTGGCCACAGAGGCCAGGCGCCATCCTGGCTTTGCAGGATGTCGACACTGAATGCCATTCCTCACCCCTCCTGCCAGGATCTGGGCCCACCCTTCTGCCTTCACCTGCAGGGGGGACCTGCCACTCCCTAGGGAAGAGACCACCTTGTGTGTAAAGGGTGGCAGGCCCCACAGGTGAGGTGGACAAATGGGACCCAGTGAGCTGAGAACTGGAGCAGGTGACGAACAAGAAACACCAAAACAAGCATGACTATCACTCTAATGAAACCAAAAGTTTCCAACATACTGTTTTTCCTGCATGAATACACCCTAAGGCATAATTCAAGTCATCAGGCACCTGTGATGACCTACAGACCATACCTTCACTACAGGTCTTTCTTACATGACAATCTATCTTCAAACTCAGACCATCCTTGCAAATAACCAGAAAAATCACTGCCTTTCCTCCAAGCAGTGAGCATGAGTAAATCTCTATTTCAATTGTAGTTAGTATGTTGGACTTTTGAGGACCATAAAAGCATGTTTAGTAAAATCTGCTTAAAACCCTTTGATTTGAAAATCATCCCACCAGCTGAAACTTTTACTCACCAAGACTCAGTACAGGCAGACCTCGTTTTAGTCACACCACTATTGCGCTTCAAAGACATTGTGCCTTTCACACACACGAGTCGTGCGGCAGCCCTACACCCAGCAGGTATTGGTGCCATTTCTCCAAAGCATCTGCTCACTTCATGTCTCTGTGTCACATTTTGGTAATTCTCAAAATATTTAAATCCTTTTCATTGTTTTTGTATTTGTTACGGTGGTCTGTGGTCTTTGGTTTTACCAGTGTGATCGTTCTGGGGCACCATGACCATGTAACATGGCGAACGTAATCGATAACCGTGTGGGTGTTCTGACTGCTGCCCCGACCAGCCCTTCCCTAGTCTCTCTCCCCGTCTCCTCAGGCCTCCCTATCCTGACATACAATACTACTGGAATTAGGCCAATTAATTACCTTACAATGACCTTTATCTGTTCAAGTGGAAGGAAGAGTCACACGTCTCTCACTTTCAATCAAAAGCTAGAAATGATTAAGCTCCGTGAGGAAGGCATGTGGAGAACCAAGCTGGGCCAAAGCTGGGCCTCCCGTACCAGCCAGTCAAGTTGTGAAGGCAAAGGAAAAGTCCTTAAAGGAAATCAAAAGTGCCGCTCCAGTGAGCGCAAAAATGATACAAAGGTCAAACAGCCCTATTGATGAGATGGAGAAAGTTTCAATGGTCTGGATGGAAGATGAATCCAGCCGCAGCACCCCCTGAAGCCAAAGCCTCACCCCAAGCAAGGCCCTGGCTCTGCAAGGCAGCGAAGGCTGCGAGAGGGGAGGAAGCTGCAGGAGAAAGTCTGAGGCCGGCAGAGGCTGGCTCTGAGGCTCCAGGAAAGGGGGTCTCCACGGCATCCGAGTGCAGGTGAGGCCGCAGGAGCTGGTGGGGGAGCCGCAGCTGGTGTCCTGAGGCCCCGCTGAGGGGCCCCGTGAAGGCGGCTGTGCCACCCAGCAGGTTTCCCAGGCAGACGGAACGGCCTTCTGTGGGGAGAAGACACCATCCAGGACCTCCACAGCTGCAGAGGAGAGTCAGCGCCCGGCCCCCCAGCTTCCAAGGACAGGCTGGCTCTCGTCGGGGGCGAGTGCCTCTGGGGGCTTTAAGTTGAAGCCAGCGCTCACTGGGCATTCCGAAAATCCTAGGGCCCTAAGACTTACGCTGAATGTACTCTGCCTGTGCTCTGTGAATGGGACAACAAAGCCTGGATGACAGCCCATCCGTTTACAACATGGTTTACTGAATATTTTAAGTCCACTGTTCAGACCTACTGCTTAGAAAAAAAAAACACCTCTCAAAATATGACTGCTCACTGACAAGGCGCCTGATCACCCAAGAGCTCTGATGGGGACGGATGAGATTCATGCTGTTTTCATGCCTGCTCACACAGCATCCATTCTGCAGCCCGTGGACCAAGGAGTGATTTCAACATTCAAGTCTCTTTTTTTAAGAAACACAGTTCATAAGGCCATCACTGCCATAGACAATGATTCCTCTGGTGGACCTGTGCAAAGTAAATTGAAAACCTTCGAGAAAGGATTCACCGTTTGAGAGGCTACTAAGAACATGTGTGACTCATGGGAAGAGGTCAAAATGTCAACACTCACAGGAGTTTGGGAGAAGTTGATTCCAACCCTCTGGAGGACTTTGAGCTTCAAGACTCCAGTGGAGGGAGTCAGTGCAGGCATGAGAACTAGAATTACAAGTGCAGCCTGAAGACGGGACTGAATTGCTGCGTCTCATGGTAAAACTAGAACAGATAAGAAGGTCCTTCTCACAATGAACAAAGACAGTGGTTTCTTGAGATGGAATCTGCTCCTGGGAAAGAGGCTGTGAAGGTGACCAAAACGGCAGCAAAGAACTTGGAATACGACACAGACCTCACTGACAGGGCAGCCGTGGGTTTGACTCCCATTCTGAAAGAAGTTCTCCTGTGGGTAAAATGCTATCAGACAGTGTCATATGCCACAGAGAAATCATTCATGGGTTATTTTAAGAAACTGCCCCACCAGCTAGCCTTCAGCGGCCACCAACCTGAAGGCAGGACCCGCCATCAGCAAAAAGATTTGACTCACTGAAAGCTCAGATAATGGTTAGCATTTTTTAGCAATGAAGTATTTTTTTTAAGTATGTGCATTGTTTATTTAGACATTGTGACACTGCACACTTACAGACTCTAATAGAGAGGAAACATGACTTTTATGTGCACTAGGAAAACAAAAAAATGATTAGACTTGCACTTGCTGTGTGTGTTTTACTGGAGCGGCCTGAACAAAACCCGCAATGTCCCCAAGGCGTGCCTGAGCGCCTCTCTCCTGAAAACTCCATCTCCATCTCCCAGCTGGAGGTAATGAGGAGTCACAGGAACACCAAATAAGAGATATTGGATGGTGGAGACATCCACTTTCCATGATTCCTGTGACTTGGAAACGTGCCTGTCCATTACCACTACATCTAACAGAACAGGCACGTTCTGGGGAGGAAAACCTGAACATAGAGTTGGAAGTGAAGAGAGACACTCAGGGCATTGTTTAATTGTGATGGACTTGGATTCCTGTCTAATTAAAACACAGGCATGTATTTTTGCTTGGATAAACAGCTACCAGAATCTCTGGCACAGCCATTGTTTTTCTTTATGCTTGACAAGTAGCCAGAACCTGCCTATCCACACATCTTAGGTGATCTCTGTGGTAGGTGAGTGAAAGGTATGAAATTTTCCCACAAAGAAATTACTGTTCAGGCTCATCTACCACAGGAAGAAATTGAGAAATGAGAAAAGGCTTCCAAGTGTGCCTCAAGGCAGAGTTTTAAGACCATTTTCAATGTTACTCTTTATATGCAGTTGCTTCCAATGTTACGGTGGGCAGCAAAGACACAAGTGAGGGTCAGCTGGCCCTCAGCTGTTGAAATAGCCTCTCTTTCTGTGCACAGTGTAGGGTGTTCATTTCGATCTTTTCTAATCTGAGATTAACACCCCCTGTCCTGCGATATTTCCGGTTTTTTTTTCTTTTGGTAGCAAATAACCAAAAGAGAACTTTCCAACTTTTTTTGTCATTTAAATCTTATAAATAAATCCTACAGCCTGGCAGAGAGTAAACACAGTAAAGAGGCAGGGATTGCTCTGTGACTTACCGACTAGTTACCAGTGACTTTTTCTGTGAGGCGGGTGGATTATCTGGTCACTCTGTATCTCAGCTTCACCATCTGTCAAACGGGAACAACATGATTTCGCTTCAGAATGTGAATTGGTGCATGCAAAGGCATGACACATATTAACAAACTAACTGATATGATAAGCAGGATGTGTTGCTCATGCAATGGCACTAAGAGGAGCTGTTTAATGCCAGTACAGTCTTTTGCAGAAGCCACTCCCACAAAGTCACCTGATTCTGAAGCTTAAGGGAGTTCAGTGTCCTAACACTATAACCTCCCAAATAGAAGGTATTGTTATGTTCATATGTTTTTTTCATTTCTCTTCATCAAGTCCTTCCTATGCTCTCAGTATTGCTTCTGTTGACACATGGTCATTTAGTTGGACTCTATGATTTCAGAGGTGAAGGTAATCTTAGAGAAAAATCTAATTTGACTTTTAACTCATTCAGCTGGTTTGTGGAAACTCACAAAGCTGGTCCCACCCTCCAGAGCAGACATGCTTCTGTGTAGGCACCTGTGTTAACTCCTTCAAGTTAACAGGCTGTAAGTTGTCACCTCTGCCACAGAAACATTTAACAGTATCTTACACAGGTACCTTCCCTTGACAGAGGCGGCAAGCACCAAAAATTAGTTTGGATTAGAAGCTTCAGGCTAGTTTTTGTATTTGGAAATGTCAATTTCATGGGCAAACATGGTAGAGAAAAGCTGGAGAACACACTGCAGAATCCCACTTCAGCCTAGATGGTCACTGGTTCTGTCTTACAGATTCCAGAAAAGGAAATCCTGTGACGCAGTGCCGTACGCCTCCTCAGCATCCAACCAGCCTTTCTTGAAAGGCACTGATAATGTCTGATCAGAACATCATGCCTCGGCTTCAGACGCTTGTATTGATCACTCAGACTTCACGGAGGATACTTGGCTACCCATCAGACCACACTCCTGATCAATCAACTCAGAGTTTCCGGGATGGGCCTAGGCACCATGGCTTTTGAAATCTCTCCTGGTTTCAGTGTGCAGCCAAGGCTAAACTTTCTGAAGATTTAAATTCTATAATTTCATTACTTTTCAAATGTCTCTAATCCAGGATAAATATTTCCACTTCATTTAAATGTGCTGACGTCCAACATGTGGAAATGTTTTGTGGTAGTCCTGGCTTCTCCCCAGAAGTTGTTCCAGTGACTCAACATCACCAAGTCCATCCCAACTCGGTGCTTCCGTCCTGCGTGTGCAGCGGGGTGGGGGGGGCAGGCTTGGGCCTGGTGCGGGTCTGGATAGGGACACAGAGGTGTGCCAGGATTCGGTGGCTCCGTGCTGAATGGGTAGCCAGGAAGTGTCAGTGAAGGAGCAGGCCACCTGCACCACCTCCACGATGAGCTGAGGCTCAGCACCATAGGACATGCTTGCCATCAGCACTTCCACAGCTCATTTCCCTGCCCAAGGACTTGGGCCCAGGTGTCCTGGCAAGAACAGAATTCAAGCAAGTGTGTCCTTCTTGACCTTGAAACTCCCTGTGTTGTTATGAAAATAAGTTTAACCTATGTGCTCTGAGTTCCTGTGAGAACAGTTAAAGACAATTCTGTAGTCCACGAAGAACTGGCCACTCTTCACTCGTGCAGCAGACGGGCCCTGGGTGAGGCTTAGAGAACATGTCACTCAGCTCTGGGAAGCTCTGGGATTCTACAGGATGAACTCTGACAGTGCAAGCGCACTGTCACATCCTCCTCCTCAGCGCTGGACACGGTGGTGAGGGCGGTGGGAAGGGCCTGACAGCGAGCATGCACCAGTCTGCAGCAGCACTCCGCAGTGGCTGGAGGCTAAGCAACACTCACTGCTGTGGGTGAAGGGAAAGAATCTGCAAACTTGCCAAAGTCCATCCACAGGGTGGAGACTGGGGGTAGAACTCCCAGTTCTGTAACTCATCTGCAAATAGCAGTGAAGTTGCAACCCTAAACCCTGTCCCCACACCTGCTCCCCATGTGGGAGCCGCATTCCTTATGTTATTCAGTGATGCGGTAGAGAGCCAGACAAGGACTGACAGGGGTTACACAGAATACAATACACAGAATGTGCAGAACTGATAACAATTGGGAAGATAATTGCATTTCAGATGAATGTGAAATAAAAACATAATCCAAAAAATAATATAAGTATGCTTATAGGTCCCAAAGAGATAAATGGAAAGTACCAGTAAAAAACAATAAATTATTTTGTAAATTGCAGTAAAATATTAAAAGATGGATGTTAAAGAACACATTGGGGAACAATTAATGAAGAAGAATGGCAGAACATTGCCTTGCTAGACAAAACACACTTGAAGGAAGAACTAGTTCACTGAAATATAATACGAAGGAATTACCCAAAATTCAGCCTAGAAGGGCAAATCAATTTAAAACTATGAAAGATCAGTTATAAGAACCTAGATGATACTTACAGAGAGTCAAAAATATGTCTAACAGAATTCAGAACACAATAATAAAAGCAATTTTGGAGAAATAGTATTTGAGAGGTAAGGGATAGAAAATTCCTAAGCATCAACATTAGACACCAGAAGGGGATGAAAAAATATTTTCAAAGCATTAATAACAATAGTAAGAGATATTATTATGTTAATAATATGTCCATCTAGATCTTTATACCAAGCTAAACTAGCAATACTAAGTGTAAAGACAAAATTAAGACATTTTTGGATATACAAAAACCAAGAGATTTTATCACTTACTTTCAATATCTTACTGAAAAAGGTATTATGAAAACATGTATTTCAGCAAAAGAAGGTAATCTAGAAGGAAGAAACAAGCTACAAGAAAAAAAGTGACACAAAATTGATCAAAACTTCAAACAATAAAAATCTCTAGGCAACAACAACAACACTCATTGTATTATATCAGCTTATTTAAATTTTTACCTTGTCCAGGAGGAAACAGAGATACAGAATAAAAGTTACAGTGGTAAGGTTAGGGGAATTGCACTTCTCAGACTCACAGGATCATGGAACATCTCCTACATAAGGCCACTCCTTCAAGACCAGGAGACACAGATGAACTGCCTAATACATAGATACAAACACAGAGATATAAGCAAAATGAGGAGAAAAAGGAATATGTTCCAAACAAACTAAAGAGATAAAACCTGAAAAAAAAGAGCTAAATGAAATGGGACAAAATCTACCCATAAAAAGTTCAAAGTGATAAAGTAATGGTCATAAGGATGCTCATCAAACTCAGGAGATGGATGGGTGAACACAGTGTGAACTTCAACAAAGAGTTGGAAAATATAAAAAAAAGAATTAATCAGAGATGAAGAATACAACAACTTAAATGAGAATACACCAGAGGGAATCAACAAATTAGATGAAACAGAAGAACGGATCAGCAATCTAGAAGCTAGGGTAGTGGAAATCACCCAAACTGTATAGTAAAAACTGCCTTTGAGTGGCTGAATCAAACCAGAGCCCAGTGGTGGCCTTTGCTGAGTAGGGTCCTGTGCCGGGAAAGCCTTGGAATATGGTCCAGAATGAAATCCAAAAGCTGCAGTACTGGTGTGTGGGATGCACGCCACACCCACAGCAGGACCCTCCACCCACCCACCCACCTGAGATAGCCCAGAACACTCCCTTCACAGCAGGGTTGAGAAATCCACCAGCAAGGAAAGGACATTTCTGGAAAAGCCCTGCACAGGGACCCCATGGCCAGGGTGGCCAAGGAAGATGCTGCTAGCAAACAGGCTCCATGTTTCACTGAAGATGCCACAGGACAGGTTTGCAGAAGCCAAGTGGCCGCCTTGGCCCGCAAGATGGGCTCCAGCACAGGCAGCAGGGCGCCTCCACCCCAGGGTCTGACGTGCAGTCAGACTTGGGCAGCTCGCTGACCATGGAGGTGCCTGTCCCAGCACACACCCTAGACCCGTTCCATCCCTATGCTCACCCCAAGAAGAGGCTGGTGAGGGCATCAGTCCAAAGCCTGTCTGGCCGTGGACTCACTGGCTCTGCGGACGCCCAGGTTATTTCCCCGGCTCCTGGGTGCACACTCGGAACACATGCCCCGTAGCTGGCAGCTCCCCAACACCGCACTGCGGAATCACACTGCTGCTGGGGGAAAGGAAAAGGGAGTTCCCCTCTGTATGAACTGAAAGCCAAAGCAAGGTCGCTTCCATGGGGAAACTGCACAGATTAATGCCACTGTCAGACCTGGACAATGAAGGGTTTTTATTTCCTTTAATCCTGATTTGGCCCATGTGGGATCTGCACTTCTCAAAAACAATGGTGCATTTTATACGCTTAGCATGATGGTGACTCAGTCAACCTTCTGCCCCAGATGAATTCTGTGCTCATGGATGACAACAGGCCGTCAGGGTCCAGGCCACCACCTTTGCTCAGCAAGCCCTGTGTTCACGTGTTTATCAGAAGTCATCTGTCCTCATGCGCCAGGACCACAGAGCCGGCCCGCCTCTTCCCCCCACAGGACACGCAGCTGTCTCACGCTGGCCCACACCTTGAGGGCAGCGTTGCCAACAGTACCTGGAGGCAGAAGTGGCAGGTGCTCTGGGGACGTCGCATGCACTGAAAGGTGGAAGAGAAACTCCCAAACCCAGAAGGCAACCTGAGGCTCCTGCCTCCTAGTGTGTGCAGACGGCACAGAGCAGGATGCTCAGGGGGCCAGGCCGCCTGGGGTGACCAGAAGTATTCCCCTCTGCCGCCAGGCTCCCTCTGTCAGAGGCTGGTGTTCAGGGTTCCCTGAAGTTTCTTGCCACCAAGGTTCCAGTCTAGAGCCCACCAACAAGAAGCACTGGTATGAGATGCGGACAGCAGTGGTGACAGAGAAACCGCAGCAGCTCCCGCAGCTCGACAAGCAGGTTTCACAACTGACCATTACACCACTGTGATGCTGCAGACATCCCTACAATGGACGCCTGCAATCCCGCATCTCCCCGCGACCCTGCAGGTCAGATCCACGGGTCTCCTGCAATCCCCGCGTCTCCCCGCGACACCGCAGGTCGGATCCGCTGGACGCCTGCGATCCCCACATCTCCCTGCGATCCCGCAGGCCTCATCCCCCAGGTGGAGGCAGAGAGGCACAGCCAAGCTCATCTTGCCCCTGCAGATCCAGCAAGAGGGGGCACACCCTCCCCCAGCACCCCTGGGTGCATGCAGCCAGCCAGCCAAGCCAACCACACACCCAGAACAAATGCTTGTTTTGAGCTGCTGAGTTCTGGGTGTGGCTTATGAAGGTTTTTTCTTTTTCAAGCAACAGCTGAATAATGCCTGGTCCTGCCACACTCAGCAGAGAGAACTAGGCTCTGTCATGTGCCAGGTATTGTGCCAAGGTGAATAAAATACTTCATGCTGACAAGCAGTAGCCAAATGCATGAAGGTATCTGAGGAAACAGACTTTTCTCAGGTCTGTAAAATACTGTGGATGTTCTCATTAGATGAATCTGGACTACTGGGGTCTTAAATGACCCTTTATCTTTCCAGAACCCATTCCATGATTACTGAGAATGCATGTGGTAGATGGCATTTTGAGGTCATCTGGTCGTTAACCTGGGAAGCCTACCCACTGCCCTGTGTGCTGGAAACAGGTTGGAGAACACCTCCTGTGGCCCTCCCTGCAAGCTGGCTGAGGAGAGTAAAGGGCTGAGAAGACAGGGCAGTGCCATCCACGTGCTTGGAGTTGGGGCCCAGTCTCCCGGATAGCTCTGTGTAAGCTGGGTGGGGCCGGGCAGCTCAACACTTCCCGACAAATAACCCCAAGGTCAGGTCCACAGAACACAATGTGGCAGCCGGCCAACCAGATGCCCCCTGGGACCTGGAGGCCGCGGTGTTTTTACCAGACCCCCCGCACCCTCTTCGCAGGCCAAAGTAGCTGCCGGGGAACAATGGCAGTGGGAGGAACAAGTGGGTCACCCAAGGCAGAACAGGCGGCGTGTGCACCGCCGAGAAAGGAAGCAGCAGGGCTGGGCGCCTCACGCAGCCACGACCCAGTTCCCTCAGGCCTGGCCCTGAGAGCTCAGGGGCCGCGGCACAGACCCTAGATGCACATGCCGGGTGGCCTCTCTCCCCGGAAGAGCACCTGCACTGGCACTGCACTCGGCACAGTGCCCTAGAACCAGGGAGGGGTCGGGGGGGGGCCACCCCACATGGGGCCTGGGGTAAAGGCTGCGCTGCTTGCCCTTATGGCACCTTGAACTCCCGTGAATCACCACAGACTTGGTGACCCGAAACACCACCAATTTATCATCTTCCAGTTCTGGAGGTGGAAGTGGGCCTCGCTGGGCCGGAACCGAGGTGTCAGCAGAGCAGCCCTCCACTTACAGGCTGGCTGCGACCTCTGCCCCTTTCCCATCCTCAAAGCCACCCACGCCCCAGCTCCGGCCGTCCCTTCTGCCTTCCTCTCCAGGATGTTCGTGGTGGCATGAGCTGCCCAGGCCGGAGGCCAGCTGACTGGCAGTCGAATCCCACCCTCCTTTACTCCCCTTCACCACGTGAGGTAACATATTCACAGGCCTGGGGGTTTGGGTGTGGAGACCAGTGGCCGTTGTTGCCCATTCTTGGAGATCCGCTAAGAGGTGAGCAGACAGAGATCAGCTGCTCCTGAACTATTTCTTCTATGAGCCAAAGAACACTCAGCAGGGCCCCTGAGATGGTGAAATGTCCACCTGCTCAAATGGAGATCTGCACACACCCAAGCTTTGTGAATCCATGGGACAAAAGACCTCTGACAGGTCTGTCTGTGGCTGTCCTTAAACAAGGCGTCCCTGGGCCACATCGTGATCAGTGCAAGTGCGGTCAGAGAACGGGCCCACAATGCTGGGACGGCCCCGGGCTCCTCCTCAAGCCTTCAGCCGAAGAGGCCCAGGGCCACCGACGGAGGGTCACACCCAGGACCATGACGAGAACTCTGAATGCTGGGTAGCCAATGGCCACCATCTGACTTTATGAAAAAATAAGGCAAGTTCAGATCCAGGGTCTGGAATGAGGGGTCCTAAGCTGGAGACACTGTAAATGTACTGATGCCCCACCTGTGGGCTGATCCTCACCAGTGCAATGACAGATGGCCCGCCCTACCCCGGCACTGTATAAACATTCCTGGGAAGAAAAATGAGTGAAAGAGATCAGGTAATAGGATTCTCTTTCCAGGCTTCCAGAAGCCATCCCCAGACACTGCAGCCTGTCATCTGTTGGTCCATTACATTCCCTTTTCCTTGGAAGGAAAAGAACAGAGTTTAGGGAAAAAATGCAAACACAAATGTGTTAGCTACATGTTTGGGGGACCGTTCAGTGCATGTGGCTTGCTTACGTTTTTGATTTCTGCTATAATTTCCTGGGTCTACCCAGTGTTCTCATAGCCACATAAAATGGAAGGACCAATTCTCAATTAAACTCTAGTTTAATATATCCTTTCCGCATTTATCAATCTAGCTTGCCACTTAGCAAGATTTCTGTGAAAAAGCCGTAACAGTTTATTCTTAGCTATGCCCCTGGGATAGTATGCTGAGTTCCTGGGCCATTAGAAAGAAAGTTTGCTAGCAAGTGGGACAAAATCCTGGTTTAAAATGGTAGTGATGGGTTAAAAGTGTACAAGATCAGACATGTAAAATTTACTTTGAAATACATCAAAATTCGGATTCCTGAGTGGAAAGACGGAAAGACAGAAGGATAGTGATGCAATAAAGCAGTGGGATAAAATACCAGGGGCAGAAACTAATGTTAACTGCAATGCCCTTCAATTCTGCTGCCCCTGGATACCTCCAGGACCATGCCATGTCACCCATTCTGCAGTCTTTCAAGGCTTATAAAGCTCAATTATTTTAGGCTGTAGGATTTCTACAAAAGAAGTGAAGACTTTATCTTCTATTTTTGTGTAATTTGCCACAGATCCCCGCATGAGGTTGCTTGGCTGTCACTGTATCTGTGGAATAATGAGTGGCAGGTAATATCCCATGTGACAGTGACCATGTTGCAGCTGAGCAAATCCTCCCTTGGCAACGACTAGACTTACAAAAGCATGTCAGCCTTATTAGTGCAGGTTAAGTCACTGCAGAGCACTCATAAGAGCCTGGTAAGCTCTGATCAGTCAGAAATCACTTGCTAATTGCCAAGATCCAGTGCTGCCCATGGGGTCTCTGGAGGGAGGGAGAGGGAGGGGAAAACGCTGATGCTGTGAGTAACCCCTTCACAGCCCACTACACCTGCATCAGGCATCCCTCCTAGCCCGCTGGAGCATGAACAAGGAGGCTCACATCCAGCAAGCTCATTCCCCCGGCGGGCACACCCCAACACCACCCCAGGGCACGTGAGCCTGCTGTCCCCTTTGCACATGGGAACAAGACTCTGACCACTTAAGTAACGTGTCTAGGCTGCACCACTGCTGGCACTGGGCACTGAGCACAGGCAGAGAGAGCCACCCCTCCAGGGTAGTTTCAGGCCAGCAACAGCCACCAACACTGTGAGGTTAGAAATGCAGAGTCCCTGGCCCTCCCCAGATCTATCAAATTGGTCTGCTTTTCCCAGGCCCCCAGGGCTCCAAAGGTACCCGAGCTGGCCCAGCTCCCTCAGCCCTTACACAAGTGTCCTCAGACTCATGCCCTGAGCTGCCAGGAGGACTGAGACAATCACGATGGCCGGCCCTGGCCCTGGGCTTTGTGGCCCTGTGGTGCTGGGCTTAGGGCCCAACAAGCTGCATTCTTAACAAGTTGCCAAGAGCTCGTGCTGCTAGGCAGGGGCTTTGAAAACCACCACAATCTTCTGCACTGCCTCCCAAACACCATCTCAGGTGCTAAATTTATCCAAATACATATGCTAAGTAACACCTTCCAGCTGCTAAACTGATAAACAAAGCTTCCAGAAATTAAGTGAGGGTGCATATTAGCAATTTTACAGCATTTTCTTGTTTTCAATGAAATCGTGATTTCTTGGCAAATGTGCAGTAGTACATCATCTGAGCTGAAAACTGAAATGCTGCAACTTTAGAGGTTATACTTGAAGGACTTCCAAGCACTGATATTTCCATGTTTTCCATTTTAATCATTTTTCTCTTTGATGGCAGAAAAATGGCATACATCACAGTCATCTGAAATTTCCAGAGAGATAATCTGGATGCCTGTTGGTGGCAAAATCAACAGTTCATTAAAACCAAGGCAAATATTTCAAGAGCTTTTCCTTAACTCTGAGTCAAAAATGTTGCAGATAACATTTCCTCAAATATTGTTTTTGAATTAAGAAGTCAATAGTCTAGAGTGAAGTATTAGTCCATATGAATAGTCTGTGTGGAACAACTATAGATAATAATGTTTTAAAAGAAGGTG